CCAGGCATGCCTATATGATGCATGCTCAGTCACATGTCCTCAATACAAATATATATATATTCAAGATGTCATGAATCAAGTAAACATGCCATGTTATGCAATCGCACCCAACAGAAAAATGTATTATGATGTAAAATGCATGCATATATCATATCATCCTTTCATATTCTTACCATTGGCTCATCATCATCATAACATACATAGAACAAATGTGAGCAACACATCACAATTCCATACACTAGCCAATAGTCACATTAGGTAATACCGCCTACACATACCTCGTACGTCGAAATTTAAGTTACCAACAAGCAGTGATATAGTCCAACTTCTCAAGGATTTTTCGTACCTAGTTTACAGTATAATCAATCAGTGTACATTCAATTTATTCATCAAATTCCCAAACTTAATAATTCCTATAGCATTCGGCCCTAAGGTTCTTTTTCAATAAATTCATTTTTGATTCTAATTCAACCTTTATACACTTTCAACAGTGAGTAATTCTTTTAATAACTCCACTAGGGCAGAATCGGTTTTCATGCTTCATCTACCAAAATTTTTCTAACTTTAATTAAATAAAATACAGCAGCCCTATTTTTTATTAATTAGAGACAAATCCTATCACTTTTATCCTAGCTAAGTTCGGTTTTAACATTATAGGACCTTAAATGTTTTTAATTCAATTTCCTACTCCTCTCCCTAATGGTGCGCTAACAACACAACAAGAGAAATATACAGCAGGCTGTCTAGCTACATTTTCCAGCGCAAAGCAGGGAGCAATAAAACCAACATACAGTAACGTTTCCTAAAAATTAATATGACATGCTGTCTAGTGAGTTTTACAGCGAAACAGAGGGCATAAAATCATTATACAGCAGCGTTTTTCCAACAAAGGTTCATATACATCATGTTTTATTTTAACACAAGCTTAACTTAGTTCGTATAAAATTTTACCAACTACGTTTTTTTTAACATAATCAACAAACCAGAACAGCAGTAGGGGAAAGGAAAGTTCGGCTATGTGTTTACCTCAAGCCCCGCCAATAAATCCGAAACTAGAACAGCACCTATTCACTAATTCCCACGAACGTCAAACTCACATCTTCATGAAGAAGACCGTGCGCACAAGCAAGGAAAGAAGGATTGCTTAAGTTAGTACCCACATGCAATGGAATATCTTCATCAAATAACCGTTGAAAAAGAAAAACAATAAGAAGGGGCTATACAATACCTCCTTAGACACTACTACACGGCTGAACCAATGAAGGAATGTAACGTTGAGCTACCCTTGCTTACTGCTCATAAGCTTTCGGTCACAAGGTAGGGGGAATAAAGGAAACGTTGCACAAGACAATAACTTGGTTGTGGAATTCTTTAGTGATGAACTTGGTTTTCTTAGCAAGAATAAGAGGGGAAAAGTTATGGAATTAAAATTCCGGTTTAGCCCTAAGGGGCTTCACGGTTTAGAGGTAGAGGATAGGAAGGGAAGGTGAGGTTTATCTCTTGGTGTTCCTTCTATGGTGGTGTCACGGTTTAAGGGAAGTGAGGGGGTGGTAAGGGTTCAATTGGTTCTGTTACAAGAGTCCCAAACTCAACCTAGTCTTCTACACTTCAGCTCATAAAGGATGAAAATGGTGAGGAGTTTAGAGCTGATTTAAAGTGGCTTAATGTTCAAAATTTCTTATTGACCTTAGTCTCTCCCTTATGCGCTCAAAAGGTGAGTTGTGGTGGCAAGTTTGCCCAATGGTGATACATGCAAGCTGACATCCTGGGGCTGATTGGATGCATAAAATAAAGGCTGAATTAGGTTGGAAGCTGCAGCAAGTAAGGTCAGCTTTTGCTCTTGTTTAGGCGCATGTGAGGAGGGAAGGAGAGGTACGTGGCTGACTTGTTTTAGTTAATAGGGACTTGCATCAGAATTTTTCAGTCGATTTCTCTTCATCATAGGCGCACACTTGGAGCTGAATGGGAAAGGATTAAGTTGGCATATGGAGATCTTCACCCAATCAAGGGCTGCCAAGGTAAGGTTCTTAGGATGAGATAAAGGTGAATACAATATTGGGCTGAATCAAGGCACTTCTAAAAGCTCTAAGGCTTCGGCCAACCAAGGATTGGGAGTCAAAGATGTACAAGCCCAAAATGTTGCTAACTTATGTACTTAACCATAAAATATAAACTCCCAAGTCTTAAAGTTTCACATGCCTAGAAATAATTCCTCTCTTATCATGACAAATCAATTAATTCCCTTCTTAAATTAATTCCACTCTAGGAAAGAACAACTATATAATCCACTAACAACACATATATTAACATATAATTCGAATTCCAATCATGCAATCACACTTCTCATAGTACCTTGTATTTATCCTAATTTTGTGGGATGTTACACTTTTCCATCCCCGCGTCTTAATCATATATTGGCGCAGCTCTCCATCTCTAATGAATTTTTTCACATCATCTCTGAGGTCCCAACATTGATATATAGTATGCCCAGGTCCATTATGAAATGCATATAACTTGGACTGATACAAGCCTCCTCTGTTTAATATAGGCTGTATATTTAATGGAGTATACTTCTTATACCTCCCTACCCAAAATCTATCATCTGAGTTTCGTTCGTGGAAATCTTTCTTTTTGTTTCTTAGTCGTTCTTTTTCCTTTGGAGCTGGACTTTTCCTCTTCGAGCTCCCTTTCTTATTTTCTTCTCCTGATGCATTTTCTATCTCCATTTGCTCAAGCTCCAAGTATTTCTTTGACCGAGCTCTGAATTTCTCTAACATTTTCACTGGATCCTTGTATATTGATTTTGCCAACTGAGATGCACCATCCAACCTGGCCACAATCAAATGTACATGGATATTTTCTTGTAAACCCGAAACTTGCAATGCCGCATCTTTGAATTGGTTCAAATATTTCTGGAGAGTCTTTCCAGTTTGTTGTCGAATTTTCCCAAGTGCAAACTCGGATTCAGATGTTTCTTACTCGTTGCAAAATTCAATAACAATTTTTCTCCAAATTCTTCAAAGAATCTAATCGAATTGGCAAGCAGGGTTAAGAACTATATCTACGCAGCTCCAGTCAAAGTTGTAGCAAATATCCGGGATATAATAGGCTCATCAATCCCTCTGATATACATATCAATGTCAAAAATATCTATGTGGACCTGTGGGTCCTGACTTCCATCATACTTTGGCAAGTGTGCCAAATCAAATTCTTCTGGAAATGGGGCATTAATAATCTCACCCGTAAAAGGGACTATTATTGTATTGTCCCTTGCTATATTTCCTCCTGTATGCACCAGTCTCTACGCGTCCTTGAACGTTATATGGAAACTAGGAATCCCGGTTGTGATGTGCATCACCCCGGTTGTTCTCCAGTATTCAGCGTAGGAATTATCACATTCGCATTGTGATTGGTATCTGGGCTATAACCTTCACCATTGTTATCAACTCGGATCTGACGGTTAGGATTCAAAATCCCTCCAGTATTAGCCGCGCCTTGGACTTCGGTAACCCCAACCTGGATTGGAGTATTTAGGTTACGATTTGTGTTACCTCGGACCTGATCATTACCATCCCGGAGTTGACTATTTTCTCCATGAACTTCCCTTTCATCTTAGATTTGGCCTCCATCACGGCCCAAATTCCTTGTCCGCATCAATCGCTCGTCCATCTCTTGAATTCTTCTGATATGTTCTTCCTGAATTCTCTTGAGATTCTTTTGTTGCTGAAGGTTGTTACGGTTCTCCATATCCTCCATCCACCTTAAGATCGCAGCAAACGCGGTCTGCGCAAAGCGGGTGTCAGGATCTCCAGCAAGTGCAATGCTGGCAGCCGCATCTGCAGGCTGATGAGGAGGATCCACAACTCGATTCTGAGGAGCAGGTGTAGAGGCTGTGTCCGAGACTTCCTCACTCACGTGAACAACATCATAATCAACTTCATTCTCTGGTTGATTTTGTGGTTGGTTTACTTCTTCCACCACAGGATTCGGTGAAAGATTTGGATGAGGCGGTAGTTGACCGCTACTCCTTGTACAAACTGTTATTCCTGCTCGTGATCATGGGAATAACGATTTAATCGTTCTCCACAGACGGTGCCAATGTTATGTCCTGAAGATAGAAATGTCTAGCCCAATAGACTAGTATATTTATGTTGGATCTAGGTGCTTCCTCTAAGATATCAATGAGTTAGATAATTTAGCAGATCACTGTTCACAAAAGAATAACAAACAGCTTTCGCCAAATGGGTAGTGTGTGTGTGCACAGTGACAACATAACATTAAGAGATAGAGTAATCATATCTATAGGTTTTACCTCCTATTTATAGAGTTTATTTGTGGGTATTGGATTTTGGACCTTCTGTGCTTCTACCAGTAGCCCAAGCCTATGTTTAATTCTGTCGTATTAGAATTGATATCCTTGATGAATATCCTCCCTTAATTATATCATATTTATATTTAGATTGTTCCTTGTTGGGCTTAGCAATAAATAGACCTCATATATGAGTTGATAACAAAAGCCATTCCAATTCACCATAATTAAAAGAATATATATATATATATATATATATATATATATATATATATATATATATATGGGGTTAATCATTAACATTATCGTCGCTCCTTTTAAAACTTGTTGATTAAAGTCGAGGACAATGATGATAGAAAAAAAAAATTGACATCACACGAGTTAAATGTGTATATTATAAGAGTAAATCTTAGCCAAGTGTATTTTAACATGTATCATGCACCGAAGATCATTTAAGAACATTCAAATCAAAAATTGAAAAAAAAAAATTAGAAAGAGAAAAAAAAAATAGAAAACACGTGGAGACAATTAGTGGTCGGTAGGATCTAAAAGGTCGTAGAGGCACAAGGAAAGAACAAAAGTGGTGGTCGTAGAGGATCTAGACCTCTCCAGATCCAGAGTCGTAGTCTCTCTTATTTATTATTTAAGGACTTCTTCTCTAACGTACTTCGTTTTTCTTGTAGCACCGAAACTGTGTTTCGAATTATCGATATCTTCTACGTTTGCTTTTGTTACTCTTTCCTTTCCCTCGTAAGGTACATCTTTCTCTCTCTCTCTCTCTGATCTTTTAGGATTCAATGTGTTTGTTTCCATGTTGTGGCTTATGAATTGTATGCGGTATTTGGAGTTTTTTTCCTGAAGGGTAGCCCTTGAATTTGGGGTGCCATTTTGTGTTGGACTTGTGCATGTTTTAAATTTTGAATTTTGATGTTGGGTTCTTGATTGTGTGGAACCCCATTAGGGAAAAAAAAAGTCTGGTTTTCTGTTTTCAAATTGTAAACTTTTTATTAGGGGCTTTAAATGGACGCGTTTCTTGGAAAAGGGTCATTGCATTTTTTGTGGTAGATGTGGGTACTGAATTGTTGTTTTATTGTTTTCTTTTATCAAATATGTTTTTTTTATTATTATTATTATCTTGGTGTCTTTTCACAAGATGAGAGAGAAGGGGGGATTAATCCTTGTTGTCATCTTGTTTTTAAGTGTGTTCTCATGGAATTCTTATAATGATGGAAATATTGAGGGTTTGATTTGAGATTGAGAAAATGGGGTTGGAAGAGTGCTAGGAATTGACGTGTCTTGATGTGCCTGTTTCTCAGTAGGAGACAATCCTCGTGATTTTGCTATGTTTTTCACATGCTTAGTCAATAAAGGTATCTCTTCTTTGGTTGTTTCCATAAGCCTCTTATCAAGCTTCATTATTGATTCTATTGGACTATTTGCAACAGTACTAAAAAGGATCCACTCTTTCAAGTGATTGCGGCTGATTAATTCTACATTGAACTGCTGTAAATGGCTGAGGTATGTGATACTAATGTTCTCTGCCATGTTTTGTTTTGTTCACTCTTTGGTATTTAATATCCTTGTAGTGCTTGCAATTGATATGGCATTTATCACTATAATTGGTTGCAGGAGGGTCAAAGGGTTTCTCTAAATGTTTATGATCTAAGCCAAGGACTTGCTCGACAGCTTTCAACTTCATTTTTGGGGAAAGCTATTGAAGGCATATGGTGAGTGCTTTTCTTTGTTGCTTGTCCATAGCGAAATGTTCTTGATCTGATGTGATATTTTAGCACTTGTATTCAATGAAAACTGGACATGGGGATGTGTTATGTTAAGCCTATGTTGTTGAAATTTTGATGATGTGATCTGTAGTTGTGTTATGCTAAATGAACTGTATAGTTGAACTAGTATGGAAATGGATATGACTCAAGACATTATAGTAACTGTGGTTGTGCCATTATGCCCTTTTATTTTTGGATATACTTGCCAATATCCTTAGTGTACTATCCTTATATCAGGATTTTGAAGGGTGATTATTTTGGATACTCTGTTTGTTCTTTAGGCACACAGGAATTGTGGTTTATGGTAATGAGTATTACTTTGGTGGGGGCATACAACATTGTCGTTCTGGATCAACACCTTATGGAACTCCACTTAGAGTGGTAGATTTAGGTGTCACACATGTGCCCAAGGATGTCTTTGAAATGTATTTGCAGGAAATCAGCCCGCGGTACACAGCTGAATCCTATAGTTTGCTTACCCACAATTGCAACAATTTTACCAATGAAGTTGCCCAATTTTTGGTGGGTGCAACCATTCCTGAATATATTCTACAGCTTCCTAATGAAGTTATGAGCAGCCCAATGGGGGCTCTTATATGTAAGTTTTTCTCAATAACACTTTACTTAAATTCAAATAGTTGTTCTGGTTCGTCCAATTTAGTATGTTATAATAATGTTTTGACAGAATGAAAGAACAATAAAATAATTTCAAAAAGTGCTTATGGCTTGTATAAATCTATTTCATGTATAGGCATTTTCATCTATTTTTCCTTGAATAGAAGTTGAACAGTTTCAAGGACAATGTTAGAGACTGTTTCATTGGAACCTTAAAAAAGATGACTATTTTGAGTGGCTGTTATTTTCTTTAATTATAACTTTGGCATCATCTGACATTATATTTATAACTTTGTTTCTACAGTGCCCATGATACAGAACTTAGAGACAACATTGAAATCTGGTGGAGTACCCCAAATGCCCCATATTAGGCCTTCTACAGTGAGTCCTTTAAGTTCTGCTTCAGTAAAACCCCAAAATAATTCCAGTGCTCCTAAGACAAAGATGTATAGCTCTAAGCCAGCAGCAGGAGGAGGAGAACCACAACAATCCTCTTCACATAACGAGGCCAGAGGAGATCCTCTTGCCAATGCACGTATCCTTGTTCAAGATGAGATATTGAAAGAGTTTGCTTCAATTATGGCAAGTGGGACAATGCGTGCTAGTGAGGCAGCAGCACTTGCCACTAAAAGAGTCATGGAAAAATATGGCCACACTGCTGTTTCACAGAGTTAGCATCTCTTTTATTACTGATATTTGATAAAATTGTGATTTTAACAATGGTTATGAATTAAAATTGCATCTGATTGTAAGGTGTGAAATCATTGACTTCTGCCTGTTTTTTGTTTTTTAATTTTGTATTAAAATATTACTTTAGGGTGTAAATTCGTTGACCTATGTGAAGGATTCAATGAATCTGGCTGTGTTAAAAACAACTTAAAATAAAAAAATATGAAGTGAGAAGCATTACTTAAAATTACTATATTGGACTTGTACTTTAAAATTTATGTTGCTCTTGTAGATATTTCTAGCAAGCTTTTATACCTTTTATAAGAGAGTTAAAAAAAATCTATATGGATAAAATAAGAGAAGATATCTAATACTTTGTTAATTTTTATTCTTTTCTTAATATTTTTATAAAGTAAATTAAACTGTAATTATATTGTTTGAAGTTAATATTATTTGATGATTTGTTTTTACCTTTATAGAGAATCTTAAATTATAATAATTTCAAAATAAAACAAATCATTACTTTTTGAGTTGTTGGGCCTCCTTTAGTTTATGAATTGAAATAAGTTGAGTGAAAATGACATGGCCGAGCTGTAAATTCGGTCACTCAAAAATAGGAGCCAGTGTAGTTAATTAATAGCTCAACATTTTATGATTTTAGGATGGTTGAATTTGGGACAACGATAATTTTGTCATTTTATGAAAAAGAATATATTTCAAAATGAAATGTTTCAAAAATAATTTGATAATCTGTTACGGCTGAAGTTTGTTATTGGGATTAGTGGGATATGTTTTGTCACAGCCATCCTATAGAGGTCTTACTCTCATCCTTTATGTAAACTACTTTCCCAATATTGTTATTCACTCGCTAATTTTCAGGTATAATTTTCCCATAATTTTATTACGTTTATAGTTATTGCTTTCCCCATACATCTTAAAAATGAGTTTCAATTGTGAATGTTTGTTGGTGGTTGTGTATCATTGTGGTAGAAAATATTATAATCCCAATCAATGGTATAAAAACTAGTTCGGTTATTAACTTGGTCAAAATACTGATTTAATCGGTGAATCATCGGTTCAACCGTTTGAACCGGATAAATAAATTTCAATATAAATATTCCCTACTCAATTTTTTTTTGTAAAATTTGTATCTCATACAAAGAACTTAACTATAATTGTACAAAAACCACTCAATCCCCAACCCACTATATCCATGTATTACCACCATCGTGTTTTGGTGCTTCTCACAACCCCTTTAAGCATCCTTGTAGCTGTTTTCAAAAGATGCCTGTGACATCATCTTGTGGCACTAGTATACTTTAGTATGTGTCAAGAAAATTATGGAGACGGAAGGTGTGCATGATGCAAAACCTCACTTTTTCATTGATAACGTTATAGACTTAGACCTCCCTTGTTTCATGTGTATCTATAGGTTTATCTCAGTTTCTTTTGCTTAATATTCATGTCAATGAGATTGGGCAAGAAACAGATTTCTATAATGAAATGGTAGAGTCTAGGTTATGCCTAAATCAAAGAGTTTCTGTGATAATGCAAAACCATATTTGGAAAATTTTGCAACATTAACAGGGGTCTAAATGGTGAAGATTTGTGCAACCAACATCACCTTGTTGCCTCTATACTCACGAAAGACAAACTTTAAGATATGAAATAGAGATTAAATTCTCATAGATGCTGAAAGATTAACCTCCCTACGTTCATTGATGCAACTCAGAAATGACAATAAAAACCGAAAGAATAGTTTCTAAAGTTTAGAAGTCCCAGATTGGCCTTAATATGAAGTGAAAAACAATTTATATACCTTACAAAAACACTTGTTGATGTCAAATTTGGCCGCACGTAAATGATTTGTCTTTGGTTGACGGGGTCGTTGTTGACGGTTTAGTAGCATAACCAATCTGATAGTTGTATAACCGATCTGATAACAAACTTGAACTGGTTTTAATAACGTTGGTCCCAACAGTGAATAAAGAATGATGTGTATTACCCTCATTGTAACTATGAAGTTTTAAAAAAGACAAGGACTACAAAACAGTCAAATTATTTCGTATATAGCTATTTTTTTTAATTTTCACTCTTTATTTTTTATTTATTTATATTGTTCTTAACTTTTTATCTTTTTAACTATTTTAATTTTTGTAATAAAAGTAAAAATGGATTAATATTATATTATAACAGGTTTAATAAATTATATTAAAACAGGTTTATTACCAAAATATATATTATACAAAAACTATTAAAGTGTTTTTTTTGTTATATATTAATAGGAAAATTTTTTGTCCTTTTAAAAGATAATCATTTTAGTTAAAAATGTTTGTACAGGTTTTCATGCCTTTAATACTATGTTAGATAGTAAAAAAAAATCAAGAAACATACATGAAGCCCTCAATGATCCAAAGAGGAGAAACATTGTCCTTGAAGAGATGGATGCCTTGGAACCTAGGAAATAGTGACATAACTGAGGAAAAAAACCGGTAGATTGTAAGTGGTTGCAAAGGGGTTCACCTAGACACATGTGATAAATTATTAGGAGATTTTTGCTCTAGCTAGTTCTCAAGGTTAACACCAATTGAGTCCTTTTATCTCTGGCTGCTAAGCTGGATTGATTTCTACAAAAGTTTGATGTGAAGAATCCACTCTTAAATGGTGACCTACATAAGGACGTCTATATGGATCCTCCGCCTAGTTTCGAAAAAGAAGATAGGTTGGTGTGTAAGTTAAAGTAAGTCCTTGTATGGCTTAAGCAATCCCCTAGAGAATGCTTCAAAAAATTTACTCAAGCAGTCAAGAGGAAAGGTTTTCTTTAAGCACAAACTGATTCAACTCTTTTCCACAAGCACTCTACGGATGGTAAAGTTGCTATACTTATTTTTATGTTGACGATATAATCATTACAGGTGGTGATCGTGATGAATTAGATTCCTTGAAAAAATATTTAGTAAACAAATTTGAAGTGAAGGACCTTATAAATCTTTAGTATTTTCTCGGCATGGAAGGGGCTCAGAGCAAGTCAGGAATTACTATTACTCAAAAAAAGTATATCCTTGATCTTTTGTAGGAGACATGCATGATAAGATGTAAGTCAGCTAAGACCTTTGTGGAACCCAATGTTAAGTTAGGCATTGAAGATGGGAAAGAGATGGACAGGAAAAGTATTAGAGAATTGTTGAAAAATTGATGTACTTATCCTACACTCGATTTGACATTGCTTTTGCAATAACTCGATTTGACTTTGCCTTTTTAATAAGCATGGCTAGTCAATTCATGCCCTTACCCAAGGAGAAAAACTTAGGTACGGTCCACAGGATCCTTAAGTACCTTAAGAGCACTTATGGTAGGGGACTATTCTTCAAAACCGAATATAAGAGGATGATTAAAATCTACATTAATGCAAAGTGGGCAGATTCATCAGTGGACCCAAGATCTAACTCAAATTATTGCACCTAAGTGTAGGAAAATCTTGTGACGTGGAGGAGTGAAGAACGTACTATAGTAGCAAGAAACAATGCCGAGGCAGAATTCTGAGCTCTAGATCATGGAGCTTGTTAGAGAGTCTAATTGAGAAGACTTCTTGAAGAATTGAAAATTTCTTATTCCCTACTAGTTAAACTGTATTGTGACAACAAGGATGCTATTAACAATGCTCAAAATCCTATTCACCATGATAGGACATAGCATGTTGACCTCTACTTCATAAAAGAAAAGTTAGATAATGGAAATGTGTATCACGTATATTCCTACCAAAGAGCAAACAACAAATATCCTTATTAAAGGCCTACATAAACCAACATTTGAAGAACTCATTGACAAGTTGGAAATGTAGGAAATCAGGAGATTATTTACATATATTATGAGATTCAATCAATTAGTATCAGTTATTATGACCTTTTTAATTAGGTTTGATTTGTTTCCTTTTTCATTTTTTCTTTTTTAATTAGGTTACGTAACCTATATCTATTGCAATACAATTCAATATAGGAAACTGATCTGGATAAATATTATACAAATACAAGACCCAGAATTACAGCCTTCACAATGAAGCAAAGCCTTAGTCCAAGAAGGCTGCAAGACTCCATGACAACAAGTTTCACCATAATAAATACATGCTGCTGTCTTATCTCTTCCACCAAGGCTATCTCAGCAAGCACCTTAATATTAAAAGCTCATGACAGCCATCAAGCTGCACAATATTAATGGCTTTATCCCATCAAGCACCACAATATTAAAGCTTATCTTAGCAAAGCTCCTCAACATTAAAGGCAACATGGAAGCAAGTAACTTCAAGATACTTCATCTTCAAGTATACTTCAGCATTAAGACATCTCCAAGTTGCTCATACCTCCACTATAAATATATTATCAACACTAAGGTACATCATCTTCTCCTACATAATTAAACCTGCTTGAACCATAACTGACTTGAGCGTCGGAGTGTCTTGCAGGTACACCCCCCATCTCATTCCATAGAAGACCCATGGGTTAAAGCTGCTCCAAACTCCAAACTGCAAGATGCTCTGACCCAAGGAGGTTCCAGGCCTTTGTGTAGAGGAAGATCACATGATCGGCTCAGTTGTAAAGATTTGGTCTGATCAGAAACCGCTCTTTAAATTTTTACATATTTTCTTGAACTTTTAATATTACAAAAAAATATGAACTTTAATTTATCTGTTCTGATACTGATATACATAGAAAATAGGCCAAGCACACGAATTGAAAATGATAGGTAGAACCTTTTGTTTTCTAAAAATGATAACAATATGAAATTCAACCACTAGCATTTGCGGTGTAAAAACACCCTTTTATATGATGGAAAATAACTCAAAATCACAATTAAAATAAAAATAAAAAAACAAAATTATGATACTATTGGAGTATTTAGTTATTGAAGTTTAATGCCTTTCTTTAGATAACGTATTTACTCTCTTTCTCTCTCCCTCTCTTGTTTATGTACTATTCTAACAATTTTTACCAACTTGCTTTTCTATTCATTTTTTTCTCGGCTGTGAAATCATCTTGACACCAAGGTAAGCATCATGGTATGAACATGATGTGATGAATATGGATAGTCAACCAATGAATTTTGGCACTTAGATGAACAAGGCTAATAAAAAAGTATTGAGTAGTTGTTATGTTTGAAATCTGAATTTAATGTTTTAAACATCCAGTTTATTTTGATGACTCTTCTTTAAGTTTCATGACAAAATCTAAAAAAGGCAATAAAAAAAAAAAAAAAAATTTCAAAAAGATGAGAGTAATACGCAGCCGATTTTATTTAAACCTCTCTATGTGTTTTTGCGTGTACTTAGAGTCCGTTTGGATGATCTTAAAAAAAGTGTTATTTTATATCTTAGTTATTTTAGAAGTATTTCTAACAAAAACTAAAGCTATTTAGATTTTTTTAAAAAAATATTTTATTTTTGATAAAAAATTTGTCTTTTGACTTTTGCTTTTGTTAAAAGCTAAAAAAAATAGATTTTTAGCTTTTTTTATGACTTATGCCTTTTTTAAAAGAAGACATCCAAACAGATTTTTTCTTAAAAAAAATCCTATTTTTGGAGAAAAAAAGTCTATCTAAACAAGTCATTAATGTGTATAAAATTAAGTGAAGGGAACAGCCAATTACCGAAAATACCCGGGCTAAAAATTTTCAACCCCTAAGTAAAGAAGGGCAGTATGGTCTTTGAGCTAGCACAAATAGGATGCCCGGTCTCTTTCACTCTTTATCTCTTTTTCTCTCTTGCAATTCTTTTGGGGTCTACTTGTTGGCAGCATACATCAACGCAGTAATCAGCGAAGCCTAGACAACAACAAATTCATTTTTCCCTTCATCTATTACTCCACAAATTGGGGTTTAGGCAACGGAAGTTTCACCTCCCTTCACAAACACCCCTTGTTTTTGTGTATGTGAGCAACCTGAAAGCAACTGAATTGGATGGAAAGGCACCATGATTTCTCTTAAAAGCATGTGTATACCATGGGAAGGAAAGCAACACTTAGAACACGTTTGGTAAGCGAATTCTCTGAGAAAGAACGGGAAAGCTGAGATGGAGAAATAAGTATACCATGTTTGGTACGCAAATTCTTAAAAATTTCCTGGACTACATTTCATTCCGGGAAATGGTCTTCTTTGATAAATATGGTACGGACTGTGAAATCAGAGTTCCAAATATAAAACAGAATTGTTGGCAGCCCGGGGAAGAGAAAATCGAAGCGGGAACAGGTGGACAAAAATGACCCTATGTTTTGTACCTTATGTAGATATGGTTTAGGCAAAAAGCAAAAAGGTACCACAAATAGGAAAGGCTGTGCATTGAAAAAGTAAAGGTGAGGTTATTTTGGTAAAATAATCTCACTTTCCCACTAATATTTCATAACCAACCAAACACAAACTCAGTAAAATTAACTTCATTTTCCAGGAAAAATATGAGTCTACCAAACAGCTTTTTAGTTATATTCCAATAAAATATATTTCCCGCTACATTCCAGTAATAAATATTTCTGAGATAAAAAAAAAAAATTTCCTCTACCAAACACCCCCTTAAGGATGAGTGCATTAATTTGTTTGGCATATTCTTCTGCATCTAAACTGAATTGCTTGTGAGTAACAGAATCGAGGGTACTCCTAACCTAAAGTTCACCATTATGCTTGCAAACTGTATATATAGTGGATGAGAGATCATGACCCCATCTTTTAAGAGTATGAGCCATCTATCACATACTTAATAATATTTACATATACATATATTACCAAGTGCATGTTTATGACTAACTCGAGTTGGTTTCAACAAAACTATTTCATTTGTTGAATTTTTGTTAATTTTGGAAAATTCTAACAAGTAATGGTATAGTAACACATTTCAGGTATTGGAACTAATGTGGTACAGTTTAAAAAAAGAATCACCCTTCAACTAAGACGTGACATGAATGCAATGTACATGCTATGGTATTGCAGCTGAATCTTGGCTTCTCGGCAAAGTAAGCTCTTCATTTCTTAAACTCAAGTTCTCGTTGTCCAATTCCACAGTTGCTTCTCTTGATTTGGTGAAAACATCTGAAGGAATATTAATTCCAGCGAAGCCAAACATGACAGCTACTGCTCCAAGGTAATCCATTATGCGAGGAGCATTGCCAGTCAAGGTATCTACAATGGCAGCCAATGGGACCTGAATTGTAAGTCCAGCTGTAGCTACAGTGGTTGATGTAAGAAGAACAGCCTTGGCCCACAAGTAATCACTCAGCACATTATCCAGCAATCCTATGTTTGATAACAAAAATGTTCCATACATTATGAAATGTACAAGTAAAATAGAGTAGAGTGAGGCTAGTCATCTATAATAATACCAAGAAAAGCTCAATGGATAAAAGGGAATTGTTGAAACCAAGAAAATATTAATTGTCTTAAAGGAAGTGAAGTGCTGGACATTTGTTACATATACAGGTTATATATAGGAATGATTTTCAAGTTTTTGATGTTCGGGGTACAAATGCAGATTTATTTTCCACAATATATTGGTATAAACTCTCTTGAATATCCTTTTGGAAGTAGCAATAAACAGCTTGCTTCATAATTTTTCATGCAACATGATACCACGAATGGGAAACTCAACAGGCAAAGTATAGTGACATAAATGGTTTTCCAGTTTCTATCACTTCATGAATTTCAAAAATGAAGTAGAACATAGTTCTGCATTTTAAGTTCGACAGTTCTAATATAAGGTGAATATTTTAAGTGAGTTTCACTCAATATCTGGAGCCAAATTCTGTATTATATGTATTGGGCTAATGATGGTGCTCTTGACCATTACTTAACATTTACAATATCTCAAAACTCAGACCTAAAATGAAAAAGCATTTCTTGAGAAAAGCTATTCAGGACTTCAAAAAACAAAAAATTAGGCACAAAATAAAAAGTTGGCAACTTCTTTTTTCCTAACCACTATTTCCTATCCCCATTCACAAAGGTAACCTTGTGTATATATTGACCATCCCCAGATCCCAGTGGTAGGAACCTCATGAACTAGGCCACCCTATACCGTTACTTAAATTCTAGCACTATGAAATTTTATAACTAGCAAAACACTAGTCATCAGTTTAAAAAGCCTGATAATTTAACTTGAAACAATTCTTATGCTTAATCTTCCTGTTTTGGTAGGATGACAAGGCAACATGAAACCTATTATGAACAAACTATTCCAAAAGCTTATGTTGTTAGGTGAAAATACATGAATAGTTTTATTTTTAATATTTTTAAAATGCATCTTCACACAAAAGTCGATTGAGCTTGAAGCGTAAACAATGCATAAGACAATCTTACCTTGTACTAAAATTTAACTTTTGTTTAGAAGAACAGAAGGTAGCGAAGATCGAATTCTAAGCCACTTGGCCATGAAAGCTTTGATATCATGTCATGAATCAACTATCTTAAAAGCTTGAGTTATTAGGTAAAGCTATATGAATGATTTTATACTTCAACTATTCTTCCCATTTAGAGCAATTAAAAACCACACCTCATTAAACCGAGACTAACGAGAGTGAGATGAGGGCAATCCTTGTACGCAGCCTTACCCTAATATATTTCCAAAGAGGTTATTTTCCGTATTGGAATCCTTGACCTTTCAGTCATAAAGAAGCAACTTTACCATTGCTCTAAGCTCGCCCTTTTTTCATGTAGAGATATTAGACTATAAAAAATGATTTTAATCCAAATTTACAATAGTTTATTTACAACTCTATAAAAGAGCTGAAAATAATGTGGTTTCATATATGTGTTCTGCAAACCAGTAAATTCAAGTTTTCCACATTATGCTTTGACTTAGATTCAATTTGCCCATAATAATTGACACTTCAACAGAAAGCTACAGGTATGCAACACAAGAGTACTAATACGATTGTCTCACCAAGGCCCAAACCAAAGTCTAAATGGTCCAGCCCAATTAAAGTTTATCAGCGTAGAGTTGTTGCTGTGGAAAGAGAGGGAATGTTGCTGATGTGGCTAGTTAGTTACGGGGTAGTGGGTATGCTTGGAATTGGTTGTGAGAAGGGTAGCGTTTATAGTGCTGTGGTTTTGTAATTGAAGGTTTAGGCTTGTATTAGTCTACGTTTGTAGAGGGCTTGGAGACATCTCCATAGTTGGGAGCTTATGCTCTGTTGATTTCCATTTGTATACCTTTCTTTTATACAGAAATATATCAATCATCTCTCCATTTCGATAGGAAGAGGTGTTTATCCTATCAAATTGGTGCTTTCAGTGAGAGGTGTTTGGGAGGAGAGAAAGTTTGTGCATGCTCACCAAAATGACGTCACAGCAAATTGATGCTTTGGACGCAAGGATGGTAGCGGTGGAATCGGTGCTTAAATCACAAGAATCTCTTGCGATCGCATGATACCACTTCGAAGGGACATTCGTACCAGTTAGCGGAACATTCAACGAAGCTGAGCTCCTTAGTGACCAGTGTAGGAGACATCATCTAAACTCTGACAGAAATGCTTATTGAAATCTGAGAGGGACTTCAGCGTCCTGACCTATCGCTGCAAATTCCAATACTCATCGAAGGACAGGGAAGCGAAGTTTCGAAAGGAAAGGAAGCGGTCCTTGATACAGAGAAAAAGGTGATAAACGGAACAAATGCGAAAGATTATCGGCTATCAGCGAAGAGAATTGAGCTTCCGATCTTCAGCAAAACAGACCCAGTTGGTTGGGTAGCTAGAGTTGAGGCCTATTTCGCCGTGCAGAGAACACCGGAGACAATGAGCATTCAATACGCACAAAATTGTATGGAGGGTACTTTGCAACTCGATTAGGAGCGTTTCAAACATGTTTTGTTTGATCGCTATGGAGATAATCATTTTGGGAATCCTTTTGCTCAGCTTAAGGGGTTATTACAGGAAGGCACCATAGATGAATACGTTGAAGAGTTCGAAATGCTGGTTGCCCAAGTCCCACTGCTTCTAGAGGAACAATATATGGGCCTTTTTATCGGATCTAAAGGAAGATGTGCGCATGGAAATTTTATCTCAGGACCCTCAGAATCAATTCAAGATGATTTCCATGTCCAGGGCGATGGAGCGAAAGCTCCGCAGAAGGACAAAGATTGCCGAAGGGTGAGACAATGGAGGTTTTCATCGCAGCGTAGTGTCTCTTCCCTCTTTTGGTGTGGCTATTCAAGGGGGTAAAGCAAACACTTCTCCAATAGGGCAGAATCGTTCGGGCTGTAGTGTAGAAAGGCGTGGTGGATCAAACAATAGAGGTGTGAGGAATTTGTCTTACTCTGAGCTCATGAAGCGAAAGGCTAATGGGTTGTGTTTTAAATATGGTCAACATTACAGCCGTACTCATCAATGCCCGGACAAGCAACTGAGACTTCTCATCTGGGAGGAAGAGGAGACAATTGGGAAAACGAACACACTGGTTGCTGTTGTGGATGTAGATGCTGGAGATTGGAAGCTAGTTTGGAATAGAGTGGATTTCAAAGTAGCGGATGTTTCTGACAGATTTCATTCCAAAACTATGAAGGTGGAAGGGAGTTTGGAGGGATTTCCTATACTCTTGTTTACTAAGAGTGGTGCTAGCCATAATTTTATTACCTAGAGTTGGTTTCCTCTTTGAAGCTGCAAATGAGTAACTCAAAGGAGTTTAGTGTTAGTCTGGGATATGGCAACAAACATTTCTCTAGTGGCAGATGTGATGCTATTAATATTCAGATTGGTTGTTTTCAGTTGAATGTTGGTGCTTATATCCTGGATTTAGGTGGAATTGATTTGATTTTAGGAATGGAATGGTTGGAGACTATGGGCGAGGTTCACCAAGATTGGAGGAAGAAAACTATGCAATTTTTACATAAGGAAGAATTGGTTAAATTAAAGGGATATCAAGTCAATGTCTCAATGATCAAAATCACCAGCTAGCACTACGAGGGTTACTTCAGGAACAGGGGCACGATGACAATGAGAAAATAAATTTACCAGGAAATACTCTTAATATTGAATTCACTACACAGCAACAAGAGTCGCTACACATGATACTGGATGAATTCCATTCAGTTTTTGCGAGCCACAGGGCCTACCACCACATCGTGACTCGGATCATGCTATCAACCTGTTACTAGGTACTTCCCCAGTTTGTGTAAGGCCATATAGGTATGCTCATCACCACAAGGATGAGATAGAAAAGCAAGTGAATGCTCTGTTATAAGAAGGATTCATCTGCCACAGTACAAGTCCATTCTCAAGCCCTGTTATTCTAGTAAAGAAGGATGATACTTGGCACATGTTTGTGGACTACAGAGAGTTAAATAAGGTGACAATTCTGGACAAATTTCCTATTCCCACTATTAATGAGTTGCTTGATGAATTACATGGCGCCAAATATTTCTCTAAGATAGATCTTAAATCGGGTTTCCATCAAATATGGGTGAAGAAGAGGATATTCCAAAAACTGCTTTTCGTACCCACGATGGACATTATGAGTACCTTATTATGCCTTTTGGTCTTGTTAATACCCCCTCCTACTATTATGCATTATTTGTAGGGTGAAACTCAGGTCAGGTGGATGCGGTTGCTAGAGTTCTGCATGATAGGGATGAAGCTCTTCGTCAATTGAAACACCATCTCATGAGAGCTCAATAGTCTATGAAGCAACATGCTGATGCTCACCATCGTGATGTCTCCTTTGCTGTGGGAGATTGGGTGTATGTGAAATTAAGGCCTCACCGGCAAGTTTCAGTAGCTCGCAAAATTAATCCTAAGTTATCCGCGCACTTTTATGGCCTTTTTCAGGTGATTGCTAAAGTTGGGGTTGTGGCTTATAAGTTCCTTCTGTCTGCCTCTGCCAAGATTCATCCTGTCTTCCATGTCTCACAGCTTCGAAAGGCTATTGGCAATTCAACTGCAGAAGGGAATCTCCCTCCTGGTTTGGCCATAACTGTAGATGAACCTCCTGAACATGAGGGTATACTGCCTGAACAAATTTCAGGGAGAGGTGATCAGTCCCATACTGAATGGTTGATACTCTGGAAATACAAACCTGTGGAAGAGGCCACTTCGGAGAAGGCTGCCGATATTCAGGGCCAATTTCTGCGTTTAGCCTTGAGGACAAGGCTAATTTTGATGAGGAGGATATTGATATGATTGTCTCACCAAGGCCCAAACCAAAGTCTAAATGGTCCAGCCCAATTAAAGTTTCTCAGCGTAGAGCTGTTGCTGGAAAGAGAGGGAATGTTGCTGATGTGGCAAGTTAGTTACAGGGTAGTGGGTATG